TAAAGAACCTTGTAATGAGGGTGAAAGAGGAGAGTGCAAAAAACGGTCTGAAACTCAACATCAAAAAAACTAAGATTATGGCCACTGGTCCCATCACCTCCTGGGAAATTGAAGGGTAAGATATGGAGGCAGTGATAGATTTTACTTTCTTGAGCTCCATGATCACTGCAGATGGACACAGCAGCCACGAAATTAAAAGACGCCTGCTTCTTGGGAGGAAAGTGATGACAAACCTTGACAGCATCTTAAAAAGCAGAGACATCATCTTGCCAACAAAAGTCTCAATAGTCAAAGCTATGGTTTTTCCTGTCGTGATGAATGGAAGTGAGAACTGGACCATAAAGAAAGCAGACTGTTGAAGAATTGATGCCTTTGATTTGTGGTGCTGGAGGAGGCTTTTGAGAGTCCCCTGGACTGCAAGGAGAACAAACCTATCCATTCTAAAGGAAATCAACCCTGAGTGCTCACTGGAAGGACAGATCCTGAAGCTGAGGCTCCAGTACTTAGCTATCTCATGAGAAGAGAAGACTCCTAGGAAGAAACCTTGATGTTAGGAAAGTGTGACGGCAAGAGGAGAAGGGGACGACAGAGGATGAGATGGCTGGACAGTGTCTGCGAAGCAACCAACATGAAATTGACACAACTACGGGAAGCAGTGGAAGATAGCAGGGCCTGGCGTTCTCTGGTCCATGGGGTCACGAAGAGTCGGACACAACTAAACGACTAAACAAACGAGGGTGCCTAAAAGAAGTCATATTTAAAGAAAAAATCCCACCCAGTCTTATTTGCTTGCTCAGCATCAAGAACCTAACTACTGTATACTGAGGGTGAGATAACTCAAACTGGAGACTTGCAAAGACTACAAAGTGTGCTGGACAACTGTACTTAAAAAAAATAAATAAAAAGAATTAACATGCCAAAGAAGTGGGAAAGATTTTTTGTTTCTCTTTCTACAGGCTTCTGGCATATATTCAAGATACAGAAGAATTTTCATACCATCAGAAGGAATAACTGCAGTGCCTGAAGACAGTTGTTGTTTGAACAAGCATAGTGAAAATGTCCTTTCTGCAGTGCTGCAGATATGCAACCCTCATCATCATCTATACCAATGCACATCATGAGGCCTGCAGCAATGCCATACCACTCCAGTGCCAGATACAGCACAGAACACAATGCATATTCAGCTATGGGCATGCCGCAATGAGAATAACAGTACTTTCAACACAACCTTCCCTCTCACTACTTATCCTCTCCCAGACATATCTGCCTGCTTTAAAGAACGGCTGTTTTAGACTAGGTAAAAAGAGTGGAAGATAAATGACAGCTTTGTTTATGGCAGAACCTTTTGAATCTCATTAATTTATAAAATTGCTGAAGTCAGAAGCAACTTGAGAGCATATAGTAACAAGATATAGTTTTTGAGTGTTCAATGTTGTTTTGAGCTACACATTATAGAGATGTGATTAACTATTCATTTGCTGGTATGTGTGTGTGCACACACATGTATATCTATTTATATTTTTATGTTAATAAGCTCTCTCTGTATGTAGACATGCATGCATGTGTAAGCACGCACATATCCATGAATGGGTGTAAATATCAACAGTCATAATACTTTTCATTTAACTTCTTTCATTGAGCTCTATGTGGTTGGTGTGCTTCTGCCGATCCAACACAGCTTCCCAACAGTGATGAGCAATTCTCCCTTTCTACCTCCTGTGCTGTTCTGAAGGGTCCCAAATCTTTCAGTGTTAATGGGGGGGGGGAACTGGGGGCTTCACAAAGAATAGGGGATTGTTGAACTTGTCTCCCCAATTCTGGTGATGGAAACTCCATTGAGCCAAAGAGCATTCCAACCCCAGAGTGCAGTCAATTACTGTAGATATAAGCCATTACATTCAATACAGTTCACAGCAAAACATGACAAAAAAAATAGTAAGGTGCGTAAAGGATACATGCATCAAGGTCTCTTTTTTAAAATTCAAAAGCTGACAGACTTTCCTTTCCCCATACATAATTAGATACATTTTGAGTGGCTTCTAAATCATCAGAATCTACTTGTAGTCAAAAGCCATTGCAACTGGCCAGCAAGCACTCGCAGAGGTTCTGGCTTAACAGTCATTTAAGGCAGTAAACTGTATAAGGCCAGGGGACTGGAACCAAAGCAGTAACACAGGCAAATGTTCACTATTATAGCACCTGCAGAATATCTTTACTACTATGGAGCAGGGAAGTTTCTCCCACCTCCTCAGGCCCTACTGAAACAGGTGTTTCAAGATCATACCTCCAAGTGTGTGCACATTTACACACATTTACTTTTCAGTGTGCAGAATGGCCAAGGATTTGCCAAGGGAATTAATGCAAAAAAGCTGAGGCCGATATTTCAGTTTCATTTTGAGAAATGAAGAAAAGAAAGAACCACTTCTAACATTTATAACTGTGATGGTAACCAAATCATATCTCTGCGTCTTTGGATGCTAACTTGCTTCTTTCAACAACAATTAGGCAAGTCCTGCTGCTTTCTGTTTCTTTGCCACAATAAACATACTGGACAGTTTTCTGTAATCCACAACAGAGAAGCAAAGCACCCCAAAGAGACACACACTCTAAGAAAAGTGAGGACTTCTAGTTATGTAAACATCCATTTGGCCTAAAAAGATTTACAGTTAAGAAAGAAAAAGCCAGGCAAATAAGAATGGTTTTATGGTCTCAAAATTTATGCTTACTTTTCTATTAAATCCAGTGTGACTCCTGGAACCAATCTCACACTCTTCTGCATGCAAAACCTATAGAGAAAAGATATGAAATATAAATCACATCAATTATGCACTGAATAAACAGGTTATCGAAACATTCTTTGTCAGGAGTAAGTTCCTCATTTTTTTACACACACAAACACACACACACACACACACACACACACGCACACACACAGAGAGAGAGAGAGAGAGAGAGAGAGAGAGAGAGAGAGTTACTGAAGAAGAGGAAATAGTATTTCCCAGCCTCCCAAGTATGCAGTAATGGTGTCAAACATGTTTAACTACAACAGTGAAACGTTTTCATGAAAGTAGCAGTTTACAAAGTTTCAGCCATGTTTTACGACTGCAAACGAGCAGCCACAAATTGCTAAAAAAAGCCAAACTAATAAAATAATTTGCTTTTTTTTTGTTGTTTTTTTTTTGCTTTATTTAGCACTTGTGCTTGCTCCTTCAGCCTGGCATCAAACCCAGAGAAAATTCCGGAGCAGATTATATAGCAGTCGCACCTTGAAAACAATGCAGTAAACTAGAAGCCAACATGGATTTGTCAATAACAAATGATGCCATACTAATGTTTTCTCATTTTGTTATTGGATAACCTCCCTGGTAGACAGTGGGAATACTGTAGACAAAATATATCTTGACTATATCTTTGACAAAGTGTCTCATAATATTCTGCTTAGCACGCTAACTAGGATAGAGCAAACGTTAGGCAGATACACAGATGGTTACAGAGAGTGCTTATCAATGGCTCCTTCACAAACGGGGAGGAGGTAACAAGTGGAGTACCACAAGGCTTAATCCCAGAGCATTGCAATATTTTTCTTAATGACTTGGATAAGACATTGCATAAATGCTTATCAAATTTGTGCATTACACAAAATTGGGTGGGATAACTAGTATCTTGGAAAACAGGAACCAAATCCCAAAAGATCTTGATAGGCTTGAGCACTGGGCTGAAAACAACAAAATCAAAATTAACAGGGATAAGTGCAAAGTTCTACACATGGCAAGGGAGGCAAATGCACAGTTAGAAGATGGGGTATACCTGGCTCAGAAATACTACAAGTGAGAAGGACATTGGAATTGTTATAGATCCCAAGCTGAATATGAGCCAACAGTGTGATGTGGTTGCAAAAAAGACAGGTGCCATTTTAGGCTGTATTATAACATAAATATAATCTGCAGATCCAGTGAGGTATTAGTCCCCCTGTATTTGACACTGGTTAGGTTTCTAGAGTACTGTATCCAGTACTGACACTGCACTTTAAGAAGGATGCCACCAAACTGGAGCATGTTCAGAGGAGAGTAACAAGGAGGATCTTTGTAAACCAAGCCCTATGAAGAAAGCCCGAAGAACTGGTCATGTTTCGCCTTGAGGAAAGAAGACTAAAGGGAGATACAGTATCAGCTGAACTTCCTCAGAGACTGGACATGGAAATAGAAAGCACTGAGGGATAATTCAAGAAACCAATGTCTAAATAAATTAGTTGCATTAACAGAAGAACAGAGGTGATTAAGATGGAAACAACGCATTCATTCAGCCCCAACAATTTCACCTATTCAATCCAGACTGCAGTGCATTTGTAGTGCTGAAATATCCAAATACTGAGGCACCACTGTATATTAAGCAAGAAATGCTACAGCCCAAATTTTTGTTAGTATCCTGCCCCCCAGATATGTGAATTTCAGCTCTCTTCTCTTTCCAATGTGCAGTCATTTACAGCTTATCTCCCCTCCCACTTTCCATTCCTCCTCCTTAATTTTCCTAGCTCTGTCTCCTTCGGTGCTCTATACTGCAGCCTATCTTCCAGTAAATGCTTATTGTTAACAGAAAGATGTGTCTGTGAAGATTCTCGGTCATCCCTGTGAGGTTATCTGGAAGTTGAGTCACGGTAACTGAACTTTCTTGTTAAGTTGAAACGTTTTGCTACCTTGTTAAGCTGAAACGTTTTGCTACTCATCCAAGTAGCTTCTTCAGTCTGAGGAGAGTTGGTGGGAGATCCCTGATATATCCTCCACATTGATTTCACTTCTTCCTAATCTGAATAGGCTGCTTAGAAGGACAAAGAACTGGGGTAAGAGACAGACCCACTTCTACGGTCCTTCACCACCCACTGTGCTAATAGAAGTGTTTGAGGCTCTACACTGGAGAAACCAAATAGCCACCAAACAAGAGAATGGCCCAGCACAGGAGGGGCAATGGCTCAGGAACACAATCAGCAGTGTTGCTTCATTTGAAGGACAAAGGACACTCATTTGATGATCAACATGTACTCATTTTGGACCAAGAAGATAGGTGGTTTGAGATAGGGGTCAGGGAGGCCGTACATGTGCATACAGAAAATCCCTCACTCAACAGGGATGGAGGCCTTAGATACAATCTGTCTCTTATTTATCATGCTGCCCTTTCATCAATCCCCAGAAAGATTAGAACCAGAAAGACCACTGTTAATGACTGTTAACAACCCATGACAATGGGTGGAGAAGAAATGCAGAAGTGGGATTATCCCTCACCCCCAGTTCTTTGTCCTTCTAAGGAGCCTATTCAAACCAGGGGGGATATATGTGGAGGATATATCAGGGATCTCCTACCAACTCTCCTCAGACTGAATAAGCTGCTTGGAAGAGTAGTGAAATGTTTCAGCCTAACAAGAAAGAGGTCCAGTTGCCATGACTCAACTTCCACTTAACAGAAAAAGAGCTACCAATGCTCAAGCTTGTCTATGGAAACACCATCAATGGATCAAAAGGCTCTCACTCAGCGATTACTCACTTCATATGTTTCAGCATTCAAACCAAGGCACTGCAAAACAATGCTTGGATTCAGCTCAGCCACTAAGTAATCTATGCTTTTTTCCTCTTCTGTCATATCTCCTTTCTTAGCCTTCCTGCTTTGATCTTTACAAGACATGTCCTTTTTTCTGGACCTTCTGACTACTGTATCTCCTCCTTCTTTCTAGAATCAAAACCATTCAGTTGCTAGCAGTTAAACACTACTCTTCTGGCTCAGACTTTTTGTGATGTGAGTGCAGTTTTATCCAATTATAGCTCAAGGCTTCATCACCATTGCCAAATATCTAATTGCATTACAATGCAGATATTGATTTCTCTCTCCACTCTAAATCCAGCAATCACAGCACAACTTCTGATAATTAATGTTTCTTTTACATCGGTCACGCAATAACTATTTACAGAACATAACTGTGATGCCATTATTGTCCAGGGGATATAAAATTCACCCTTTCTCTTTCATCAGAGAAGTTTGTTTCTATAAAATACAAACACATGTTTCTAATACATTGTATTAATGTATAATCATACCTAATTTATCTGCTTTACCACTCATATACAATTTACTTCATGCCCTTCAATCTTTTCTAGTCAACACTGAAATTCTATGAAAGTGTGTGTGTGCGCGCACATGCGCAAGTGCATGAGTATATATATACATAATCATAATACATTCTGGAGGAAGGGGGTATATAAAGAATTCTTTCTTTCAGCTAAATATGCTTCCAATTTATGGCAATGCTATGAATTAATGCCCTCCGGAAGATCTTGTCATAAACAAATAACTCATCCCACATTTTCCTCTCACTCTCTGAATGCTAAGTCAAAAGTTGTCAACTGAGAGTGTGACTATTATTTATTAACTTTTCCTAGTCCTGATATGCAAAAGAAAATCTTTAAGGTGGTCACTTTGGCATTAGCAAAGCTAGACTGCCAAAAACAAAAAAACACATATATTTGCATAATGTTTATGCATATACTGTAGATCAGTGGTTTCCAACTGCAACTCCATGAAACCCTGGCAAGCACAACTGGTGGTGAAGGCTTCTGGGAACTGCAGTCTGAGAACAACTCGGTTACCCATGGTTGGCAACCACTGATACAGGTGAACATTTGAACCTTCTCTCAAAATATCTATGCATACAGTTCTAGAGGAGGAAAAAAAATACCTTTTAACACAATTGAACTGGGTTACGTTATTGAAAGTGGTTGCACCTAGTGGCTCAGTTGGTAGACAAACAGTTTTGAATCTAGTAGCACTATCACTTAGACAACTGCTTGTACAAAACTGCACTGGATATCAATTTTACATTAAGTTTGAAAACATACAAGTGTAAATCCCATGGATCTTGCATTAGTGCTTTGGCAACACTGGACACAGATCCTGGAAATAATTTGCTTTCGTTGGTGCATGCTGTTAAAACGATTTCAAATTTATGGCAACGCTATGAATGACTTTTGAAAAGTTCTGTCATTTACTGCCTTCCTTGCAAACTTAAGGCTATATCTTCTTAAAATCATGTCACATTGGGCCTTCCTCTTCTCCCACTGCCTTCCACTTTTTCCAGCATTATTGACATTTCCAGTGAGTCTCATTTTCTCATGATATGTCTACAGTAGCTTAGCTCAGTCACTTTAGTTGCTACTAAGTGTTCAGGCTTAATTTGATCTAGAACCCACTTACAGTGGTGCCTCGCTTAGCGACAATAATCTGTGCCGGAAAAAACATTGCTAAGCGATTTCATCGCTAAACGGAATTAAAAAGCCCATAGAAACGCATTAAAACACAATTAATGCATTCCTATGGGCTTCAAAACTAACCTTAAGTGAAAATCCTCCACGGGGCGGCCATTTCCGGTGCCTCTAAAGTGAGGACACACAGCAGGCAGCCATTTTGTTTACCTGGCAGCCATTTTGAAACTGCTGATCAGCTGGCCGAAAATGGGGGCTTTGCGATGATCGCTTCCCCCCGATCATCGCAAAGCGAATTTTCCCCATAGGGACCATCGCTAAGCGATCACTTTTGCAATTACTTAAACTCCGTCGCTAAGCGATTTCGTCGTTCCGTCGCTAAGTGAGCAACCGTACTATCTGTAGAGCTCTCATCCAAGGCCACCTTTTAAATCAATCCATTTCTTTTCCTTTCAGTCTTTTAATTGTCCATCTTTCATATCCCCATAGATAGTAACTGGGAATGCCAAATGGTCTCCAGTTACATGTCCTTACACTTGAGG